GTTTGTTTTTTTTCTTGAGATTTGTTCCGGAACGTTTGCGGGTCGCGGACATCGAACGACTACTGAACTTCAAGGGACATGAACCAAATTAAGGGGAGCCGAAGGGGGTCCACCCCTCAAAAATTTAAATATTTGTTTTAAGAATAATTTCATTTTTTGCTCTTCAACATGCAAAAAAATGTTTACGCGCTGTAGTAGTTCAGATAATATAATTTTTATAAATGCATGCACCGAATGTACGTGTGGTTCGATAGTTTGACTTTCAGATATGGGTTTCGATATGTCGATATATTGCCTTCATAATGGTAACTGAAGGACTCAAGTGTGCAGGTAAATGCCACGGTGTCATGGTGGCTAAGGCCAGAAGAATGCCAATGTCACGGTGGCTAACGTTTCGGCGTACTGCAGTACGCTCTGAAGAAGGCCACAATACGCTGGCCGAAACGTTAGCCACCATGACATTGACGCGGCTAGTCCCCAATAGCCCAGCCAACGTCACGAAAAATTCACATTTACAATAAATATTCTTTTCATGTAATCATTAATTAAACAAATGTAACTCTTGGACAATTTTTAAGGATTCTATTAATTGATATTTAATTAATATAACGTTGGTTTGTAATATTTCACAATATTGAGTGCATAAATTTTTACTTATTACTTATTATCAAAAAAGAACAAATTTTACTTTCGCGTAAAAATGGAGTACGTAGTATAGAGAAAGTTATCTAATCCTGCGAAAAATCTGTTTCGAGATTTCAAACGAAACATACATGAAACATCTGTGAAGGCTCTAATTAGATTTTCCGCATCATTACATAACATTCTCTACACTACGGATATTACTTCGTATATACGTACGTATACAAGAAACTAGTGCTCCAGAATGGCACAGGCTGTCTTATACTAATTAGTTTTATAATTGCTTTGATCTGGGCTAGCTTTTCTGTTTTGCCTCGCCCTCTTCCCCTGCTGACACCTATGTCGGCCCAAAGTATATTTTTCCCACTTTTTCAATCCGCTAAAGGCAGAAATGATACGGCTTTAAGAATATCAAAGAAGAGTTAAACATTACCCTAAATATGAATTTTAATTTAAAAATTTGAAGCAGTATTTAAGAGAATGTAAATGGGAAATTCTGGTTTCTTTAAATGGGAAATTTAAAGCTCGTATTCACAGAAAGCTTTGAGTTTCGCGAAAATTCGTAAGAATATATTTGAAGTAATTGTACTCAAATACGATCATGTGTACAAATTACTTGCAATGTAAATATTAACGTGATCTATTTTTGAAAAAAATCATTTGGGAAATGTTTGAAAAACTAAAATACATGAAAAGCGCATTGATGGCATTTTTAGTTCATCATTCATATATTTTTTGGCATCATTCGTTCAAACAACTTGAAGAAAAATTTAGAGCTGTTTTAGAGAAAATAGCATTTGAAAAATTCTGAAAATGCGGAATTTTGAGTTTCCGTTGAAGTCCCGAAATCTATTTTCCGCGGCATTACATAACCTACACTATGTATACTGGAAAGTAAAAATTATGTTTGGGCAGCAATAGATGGCAGCTGGGAAGAGGATGGGACTCGTCCGAAAAGCTAGACCTGGCCAAAAATTAGGAAACTAACTAGTACGAGAAAGTCTGTGCCAGCACCATAATATCTTTTACAACTTATTTTCACATATACTTTTCATTCGACATTGCATTTTTCAGTAATCTTTTCTGTTTTCGGTCCTTAATGAAAGCATAAAACTTGACACATGTCATGTCACAGTTCAATTTTGTGAAACATTTTGCTTTAACCAATTCCATTTTTTCAGATCTCTTTATGCATTATCCATAATTGTAAAAAAACGCATTGCATGTAAGCATTGCTAATGAGAATAGCCAAAATCCTGACTCCAATTTTGGGAAGTTCTAGAAATCTGTTGCTCATCTTGAAAATTTTAACCCAGACTATTTTTTCCTAAATATCGAGATTGGAAAGAGTTCTCACCTCTGAACCAAGAGTTTTTTAGAGCCAATAGTAACTACAAAAAAAATGTATCCTTTTGTTTCCATTAAGTTGGAAGAGAGAGAGATATCATCAGTATTTTCTGTGAATTTCATGTTCATTTTTTTAAAAAAAAATAACATTATCTCTCAAATATTGAAGTATCCCTGGAGATAATAAAGAGTTAACACAGAGCCTGGAGATTAAAAATTAAAAACCAAAGTATTCGGATTACACCCGAAGAAGTCACAATTATGAGCAGTTAAATCTTTAGCGTAGCAAAACCTCAAAATATAAATTAATATCCTAATTAAATCACAAAAAAAGTCATTTAATTAGGATATTAATTTATAAGACACAAAAAAAATTATTTACATCTAAAACAGCAATGATTCAAATAAACAATTATACTTGTTTTAGGGCTTTGCCTATGCACCTTAAGCAAAAAAAAGGAATTTTGTAAAATTACTGAAATTTTCATTTTAAAAACAGCATCTGACGGCAAAACATTTCTATATAATTTTTGGGGGGCTGGCCATATAATGTCCACTCTCGTGCAATCTCCCTTGCAAGAGAGAAGAAAAAAATAATTTAAAGCATTCCGACCATTTTTCATTGTAAATAGTTTTTAGATGTGTTCACTTTCCATAATGTGACATTATTTTCACTATCATTCTCTTAATACAATTAAGTTTTAAACATTTGCTCTGAGAAGCAATGAGGTGTGATGAAGTCAGTTCATTTTCAATAGAAACTACAATTTTATAAGTTTAGAAGAAGTATGAAATATGAAATTATTTAACCAATTTTTTTCTACATGGAAAATGTGAGTATGTGGGGGAATTTACGAAGTGTAAACATAACTAGTTTAAATTATTTCTTTAAAACTTGATTAGAAAATGAAAATCACTCTCATTCTTGGATATTGTGTGACCAAACAGCTTCATTTTTTTTTATTTCTACAATTTTTTTAAAATTCTACAACAGAGATTGTGCAAGAACTGATCCTTTGGGCTTCAACACCAAAACAAATAAATATGTATCAAATGTATGTGAAAAAAAGTATTATGGAAATGAACATTATAAAACTTTAATGAAAATTATAGTATTTAATACTTACCTCTGTAGAAAATTATAATATTTCTGATATCTTTGACTTCATTTAGATTTATTTTCGTAAATAGTTATCTAGTAGTGGTACACTACAAAATATACGAAAATAATTCATAGTAGTATTTACATTTTATTTTCGCAAAGAATATCACACACACAAATTCAGTGTACTATCTGTGCACGTTTTATTAAATGTGTAAAATAAACATATAGTATAGTACCTCCGTCAGTAGAATGGCACGCGTTAATTCTTTCCAGGTGCTTTTATCTCCATCACGACAGTGCACCTAGTTCAGGCAACGTTGGTCTACGTCTCAAGAGGGCCCTCTGGAACCTCATTCATTCCTCTTAACGTCACAGGGGCAGTCGCGTCTTATCAGTAGTTTGGTTTCAGACATCTCCAACAAAGGTAACCTTAGAATAATAGTCACGAAAAACATAAGAAATTTATTGCAAACTATAAACGTGTAATAAACGACTTTCATCTAACCGCAACTGGGCTGAGTGATCATAATTTTGGGCGAGGAATGCGCTGCTCTGGGGGAGGGGATAGATAATTGAATTACACTACGATTCATTCAAAGCTGCCTCTGGCAGGTCATCAACTTTTTCCGTGCTATCCAATCAGATCCTATATATCACTGACGTCTCTATAGTGGCGTTCAACCTTCCGATTGGATGACACAGAAACAGCTGATTTGCGTCATAGGCAGCTATGGATAAATCGCAGTATTATATGTATAGGGGATTCCCAGTTGTCTCAAGACAAACATTTTCTACAATGACTGTAATACAACGTTGTTTCTCCAATGACCATAATACTATAATACAACGTTGTTTGAAATTGGTTAGAAAATCGAGTACGCCGAAACACCAACAGAGGGGCTGCGAAGTGCTATTATTTCGGGCCAACGCCATGTAACATAAGAAAAATGCGAGGTGATTCAACCTTAGCACAACACTAACACTTATTCATCCATGATTCAACTATATATATAATATATATATATATAATATACATTATATATATATTATATTAAATATATATATTAATAATAATATAAATAGTAGATAGAAGATAGAGAAGAGAGAGAGAGAGAGAGAGTAAAGGGAATATATCCCAATAAAAAAATAAAAAGAATTTCTTATCCCATTTGACTTTCTCTTATATGTTAACTGTTTCGAGTTGAAGCAAAGAAAAAAGAACTGGCATATCGCATCCTGTGACGTGGAAGGAGAATGCCTGACAAAAAAATTAAAAAAATATGTTTCTCTCTGGATTTGCTAGACTCATTAGTTGCTGCAGTAGGACTACGTGGACAAATTGAAAGCAAAAAAAGACCTGCCTCCTCCTCACCATTTCAAGTGATAACATACAATGTACTAACATTGTTAAATTTTAAGTAGTTGCTAACAGAATTGATATCATGTATTGTTTTAATATTATTAGTATCATCATTATTAATATTATAAGTAGTAGCATTAAAATGACAATAACATCTTTAAATGTTAAATTATCTGCTAATAAGTGCTACTGTTACTAATAATTATCTACTGTATAATATCCTCATCTATTTGTAGCAAGTATTTTAGTATAATCCCTAGGCCAATGACCCCACCTCGATCAGGTTTTGGCCAGTTTCCCTGGTCCCTTGAGTAAATGCTGAGATGGCCCCTTGTTTGCTCCTGAACAGCAATGTAACTTCGCTCTCTCCACTAGTGTTGCGACAACTGGTGAACGATTTCAACCATGATTCAACGAATCAGTTGGAAAAGTAATCGGACTACCGGTTCAATCAACAGTTGGGGCCAGTTTTCTGAATTCCCGGAGTATATACCCCCACTCCTTTACCAACATTAGTTGCATTACGAATAAATTATAGCAATGAGTGTTGTAGACAAAATCTGGTAACGAGGAATGTTCTCTTCCATGTATTAAAAAGTATTTCGCATGGGAATATGAACTACAAATTAAATGACGTAAAATTCATTTTGTCAAAATAACCAAACTCCGAACTCTTCTCGCATCTAGCGAAGGGAGGGCTCTAAAAAACGTGCGCGGATATAACAATCTAATACCTGGAAAATACATTGAGTGCCGTCTCATATAAATACTCTTTGCTCTTTGGATACTGCCATAACCAGGCCTGCCAGCATGGTCTCCACTATGTTGACATCAGTTGACATTTGATCTCATTTGACAGGTGTAGTTAACAACCAGCTAATTCCAGTCAGGTTTTAAAGCACTGTTACTGCAACGAAATTTGTAGTTTATGAAGATCTATTACAACGTTAACGAGACAAGAAATAGCTTCCTAACAAGTCTGAGACTTCGTAACAATTCCGCCGATACTGTGTGACAATTCAAGTGTAGATTCGTGATTGGATGTGCTGTGTTTACAATTGACAGAATTATTTTAACAAAATTATTGTAATTTGACATTGAAATTGTCTCAAAAATGGTAGAAAATGAAGAGTTTACAGCTGAGAGAGCTCGAGGTATCTGTGTGATGGAAATCTCAAAAATAATAAGTAGACAACTTGAAAATATACCCAGGTTTCAAACTTTAAAGTGACAGGAAACAGAGAATGTGATGTAAAAGAATGCAAGGTGTTTCAGTGTAGTCAATTACCAGTGTTTAACTGTCTGAGAAAAATAGTAAATTCAGTTGTGTAAAAGGCATTAATGAAAACCTTTTTGGATAGTGTTCCTCAGTTGTTTCTCAACTTCATTAGTTTTTTTTTGTTGCAGCTGCCTTAAATAGTGTACTGGAAGCAATTGAAATTCCAGAAAATGCTGTAAAGCTTGGTGAAGCTAAAGATAATGCGGGAAATGACATGGTAAAAATGATGCAGTATGTATTTCCTATTGTTATGCAAATTCAGATGGATGTTATTAAAAAGTTTGGATTTTCAGAAGGACATGAAGGTAAGAGATCCACGTCTTTTAACTTTCCGGGAAAGTAAACAGTGATAACATAATCTTTTGGTGTAGATGACATTTCAGAGGGTTAAAGTAGGGTACACGGTAGACCGTTAGAGAAGCGTGGCAGCGGGAGAAGAGGAGGGGTTTCCTTAATCCGCTATGCACTCAAATTACGCTATGCACTCTGATAGAAATGAATAAAACTTATGCACAAGCTATTTTCCTGGCTCGCTCTTCATAAACTTTGTCCCTGCCGTACTGTAATGCCAATTTAGTTTCTAAGGCAAGTTTTCTCGCTTTGCTCGCCTGGATTCAAGTCATGGTGAGGCTCGGGCCTTTGGCCCTTGCGTTCACTATAAAATCCTTGAATCTATCCACCACATAATTACCAATACCAAGCACATTTCAAGAAAGTCTCCAAAATCCAAACTGCGCAGTTGCTGCCGGAGTGGCGCTTGTGAAGGGCGAGACATGAAAATTGTTTATCCATAAGTTTTATTCATTTCTATCAAAGCGTGTAGCGTAATTTGAGGGAGGGCTTAAGGAGGTAACCCCCTCCCCCCTCGCTGCACGTTTCTGTGAGGGTGTACCGTGTACCCTACTATAATAATTAATTAAATTAAATGTTTGATCATATTCCTCAAAACTACTCTACATTTATTTTCACAACATGGTACAATGCATGATTACTTTAAATTGTTGCTTAAGTTGTATTTACAACAGTTACTGAGAATCAAGAATTAATTCTGCGGGGTAAAAGTAATGTGACTAGATCTGACACGTGTGACCCCCTACATGTAGATAACGCATCTTTTGATGCATTTGATTGTGTGTGTGTGTGTATATATATATATATATATATATATATATATATATATATATATATATATATATATATATATATATATCTCATGTTATATACTATGTATCATTCGAATAAAATTGAACTATTTGTGAAAAAAAAGTTAAATATTTAAATAGTTTTTGTTATAGACCAGTAAGTTTTGTCCTGTGTTGTTACATACCAACATATTTTTAAAATATCATTGATTTTTATTGAAATTTGATTCCAGGAATTGTAAGTTTTTCACAGCAGATTCGACAGTTAGAAAAAGAAGATTCAGAAGTGGCTCACTTACATGCCCAAGTTCGAGCACATTTCCTTCCTCCTGTGTCAATAAATGCGGAGAGTACATCTTGAAGGGAAGCAATAAGTACTATATTTCACTTTGGAAGTAAAATTATTTCATTGAAATATGATGATAGAGAATTATCTAGAAGAGAAGTCATAATGGTGGCAGTTTGTGAATAATGAAAAGCAGATTGAATACATGATAAGTGAACCTCTAAAAGTACGTTTCTGGTCTAAAGTATGTGTTCCCTACATAAATGCATGGCAAAAACCATCAAAATACATAAAACATTCAAAACTAAAAAAACAAATAACTTTTTTAGAAAAATAAATTGATGAATAAAGTTTAATGAAAGAATGAAGAAACATTGCATTTTTCCGGAATGTTTTGAAAAAGATGATATTGCTTGAAGTTCAGGAAGACCAATGTTCAAATTTCCATCTTCTGGCTGTAGTTTTTGTCAAACTTTCGTGAATGGAGGTTGCAAAGAAGCCCTTGTGTTGACTTTTTTTTGGTAAATTTCTCTCTGTTATTATTTTCAGTTTCTCTCTTTCATGGTAGATTTAAGGATTTGTAGCAAATGTATTTGCTCTTTTTATTTCTGAAAATTAAATTGTCCTTCAAATATGAAGGTTGAAGCATCCTGATGGTTGAAACAACCAAGAGCATAACTATTATTTCTTATACATTCTAGTCTTGCTATCTGTTTCCAGTCAATTTTGATTACCCGAAATCATCCTCAAATCCTTCCAAATCTATGAAAATCAGAAAGAAAACATTTCATTCAGAGGTACTATTAAAGTTCTTAATTTCTCAACACCACTGCAGTACTGCTTTTGGTGAAATCAATATTCAGGCATTGTCAATAGCTACCAAGTCAAACAAATCATTAGGAAGGCCATAAGATTTTTGATTTGTTTACTTGCTGCAGAAATAATCAATGTACAGTGATGAACATTTGCTAACATTATATGTATTTCTTATCAATTTTATGGCAATATTATTCTCAATGTAGAAATTAATTTGTAATACTGATACATGGGATGTTATAATAAATTGAAAACTGTGAATATTGATGAATTTCTTGTTTTTCATCATGAGATTTTACTATTAAAGAATCTTGTTGAACAATTTATAACTGCAACATATTTCAGTAAGAAAAAATTATTTTTAATTTTTGAATAAATAGAAATATGGATATGAAATTTAGAATGTATTTGTTTTATTTTACTATATAATATAATATTCATGCTCTATTTACACATATTTTATTATCTGTAAGATGTTCCCTCATTTTTTTTGTCAATTTGACCAGTGAATGCCCACGTGTCCACCAAAACCTGAAAATGTGGGTGAATAGGAGGAAACTCGAATTAACATAATAAAGATCACAATTTGATTTATTTTTTTTTGTATTAGTTACTTTGTTAATGAAAATATTTTATGTTATAATTTAATGTAATTCGTCATATTTTTCAGACAAGTTGCAATTCTCAACTTTTGTTGTGACAAGGATGAAAGGTTCAACAAGAGAAACTTTCCAGGCTGTTTGCAACCTATTTTATGGACAAGAGCAAAATTTTCTTAATTATTGCTTTTCACAATTTCTAAAAGAGGGGGAAAAGTTTGTTTTTTTCTTGAGTATGTAGTGGAAGTTCAAGACTAAGATTTCCCCCCTTCCTTTTTACCAAAACATTTTTATTTCTAATTTCCACAATTTTTTTTCAAACAAACAAACAAACAAACAAACAAACAAACAAAAAAATCAGCTTTTTTTTTCTCCAAAGATGAATATGGTCTATTTTTTCCATTTCCTAGAAATTGTTGTGTAATATTTAAAACCAACCCCAGTCTGGAATAATTGTATTCTTATATTTTGTATTAATTTGTTATATTTTTTAAAAGTATTTTTAAGTTAATAAAAACTGCAAAGGCAAAAACAGCTGTTCTTGTAATTACTATCTTATAATATTCTGTATTAGATAAGTATATGATACACTGGCTACTTAAGAAAAAATTAAGAATAAAGCTTTTTTCTATTTGTTTAGATAAACCTTATTATTACAATTTTTGATTTCCCAAAATGAAGTAATTTTTACAAGAAATTCACTCGACCAAATGTGATGTGTATGAGTCAAACCAGGATCTAAACCTACATTTTGGGCAATGGGAATTCATTAGTGCACTTTTTTGTTCATTTCCATTTCTGGTTGGAAATTTTTTCAGTATTAAGATATAAAATCATGCTTATCCCAAAAATTCTAAATTTGAAGCCGTGTAGATTTTGTAAGTCATCAGTTAAATTAAATTTTTAATTAAGGCACTTCTATAAGACTCACTCTCATTTGAAAAATGTTGCTGAAAACTGTAATACATCAAAATACAATGTTAATATATTTTTCTTTTCAACATAAAGACATTTTGAAAGTAATAAAGCACGTCTGTAAAGATAGAACTGTAAAGCATCATTTTGATCATATCGCATATGACAAAACAATGAAAGAATTTTTAATGTACATATTTGAAGATGTTAATAATATGGGTGAATGATGAATAGTGAAGTTTATGAGATCAAACACATTTAAGTGGTAATTTCTCAACTTCAAGGCAAAAAACTGTCTCATTGTTTGTTTTCTCACTATGAATGTGAAACTTGATCTGTGAAAATATGAAGAAGTTTGTAACTAATTACTGTGCTGCATATCTCATCAAATTTTTTAGTTACACTTTTTCATGCTCGCAAAGATTTGGATTGTTTCATCATTATTTTTGTCCTTTTATTCTTTCTGCTTCCAAGCTCAATCTCACTGAATAATCTAGGCACCAAGCAATATCTCAGGCATTAGTAAAGTTATGACCTACAGTGTAATATCTTAATCTATCAGTAACAAGTATTGCTGTATAATTTCTAGGGTAACGACTCCATCTCGATCAGGTTTTTTGTCCAGTTTCCCCGGTCTTCGGAGCAAGTGCAAGGATAGCTCCTTCTTTCGCTTCTGGACTGTAACGTAACTTCGCTCTCTGCACACAAGACATCATATTGACTCGTCATACATGATTGGAATTGTATATGTGACTCAATAAAAAATTATAATAATAGTAATTTATTATTATGCACTGTCACAGTGCCATAAAGTTCAGGCTCACGATGCAGGCAGGCCCAGGTCAAAGAGAGCCTACTTTTGGGTTTAAGGTTTTGCGATTGTGAGAAATATTAATTACTTGATACTTAGCGATACAATAATGATCTTGATACAATAAAAGAAAAAGAACGATATTTTCTGCTGCAGTAGCTTATGTAATCCTGTTTCTAAGAGTACAGTAAAGGAAAGCAATTCATTTAGATTTTATATGTCTTAATTTCATTAAATAAAGGCAGATTTTGTCACTATATTTTATTAATCTTAGACTTACGAATTCGAATTTGTTAAAGAATATTTTTAGAATTTAAGGTAGTAATACAACTTGTGTTTGATGTACCCTTTTGTAAAGGGGGCACAGATAAAAGCTTTGTGGATGGACCCACACTCATTTTTTATGTTACTGCACTATGGTTAATGCTTATACCAGATCCAAGCGTTTATTAAGATATCCTATTTTTTGAAAAAAGTTTGAATTCAATTTACATCACTTTCTTTTCATACCCACCATTACTGAAAACAGAAATTATTTCATTTAAAAATCAAAATTGATTCTGGTAGTAACTAAAAAATGAGAAGTACTTTGACTGAACAGAGTACAGGTTCCTGCATTACTTTTACTCTCAATTAGCTGTGATGAATATATCATCACTAGAAAGAGGGATTTTATGCCCTGAAAGATCTTGAAATCTGCTTTTAAAACTATGCATTCGTAACCTAAAAATTCTGTAATATGCACTTAAATATGCAATTAAAATTAACAGTATTTCATTTCCTGCATTAACCTTGCTTGATAAAATTCAGGAGACGCATGCTTGAAATGAAAAGATATATTTTTGAGCAAACAGAATATAATCTACCTTACTTTGCAGAAGAAATAATTAAAGTAAATATCCATCTTTACAAAGTACATTGTCTTGTTGCAGTTCTTCTGCCTGGTTTAAAACAAATATGATCTCTAGACATTTCCTATTTTTGCACAAAGATTTTACCATCTATGGAAGAAGAAGAAAAAAAAAAGAAAAAAAAAACACAAACTTTGAAAAGCTCTTTGCCTTTGATGAATGCTCACAAATAAATATATGTATGAAAAGTTGAAAAAAAAATAAATTTTGAGATAAATTTCTATTTAAATGAAATATGCAAAATAATGCGTAAATATAATTACACGAATATGCACTAATAGGAAAAATCGCCCAAAAATGCATTAACATATTAATCAATGTATCATTCAATTCTAACCAAATGTCTAGACATTTTACTTAACTACGCCCTGAAGCAAAAATCTGCAAGATCTGCCTGGACAAAAATATTCAAAATCCCTGAAATCCGTTTCCTAGTCTTCACTCAAAATGTCATTGCCTCAGAAATGTTAGTGGCAAATCTTAGATATTCCACCCTGTCCCAGTAAACTCATTCTCCACTAAAAATTATTCTTTATACACTTACTTTCCAACACAAATTGACCATTCCATTGACTAAGATTTTCAATGTTACATAATCAATCAACACTCGTGTGACTAAGCCAAGGAGTTTTATGTCTAGAAGTTCTCTGTTGAAAAATTTCATGATTCAACTTACAATGTGATAATACCTTTTTTACCCTTGAAGCTTTTATTATATGTTTTTCTTTTAAGTAAAACAATAACTTTCTTTCTGGTTTATATATTTCATCTATATAGTTTTAAAACCCTATTACAGTTTCAAACTTTTGATTGAATTTTTTCAAACCTTGGAGAAATTACCTCACATTGATTTATTTTTATTTACATTTTTTCAAACTTGCACTAGCCCTTAATTTATTTTGTGGCAAAAACCATTCTATAGCTCCAAATACGTACTTTTATGTATGCTTGGTGTGTGATGAAATTCTGCAAAATATTATGTAAGGAAGGTGGAAACCAATAAGAAGCAATAGACCAGAGTATGAAAAGTATTGATTATTAACTCTCTTCAGTAACATAATTGAGCATCAAAACAAATATTTTATTAAAACACATTATATTTATTCCTGTTAAAAGCAGTAACAAGAATATTGATGGAATTAATGAATAAGACAGAATATTAATTTGTCTATGAAAAGTTGTTTGTATTTTTAACAAAGTGAATTATTTCAAAAATTGAAAATAAAATTATTTTAGACAGCAGTTTATATATATTTCTATACTTCAATAATATTTACAATGCTGATATGTGTAATTATACTGCTTTCAGAATTCATTTTATAGCAGCATTCATTAATTCAGGTAACCAGGTTTGTGAAGCAATGGGTTCCAAAACACTGAAAATTTTGTGTACACCAATAGGAGTAACAAAAAAAAAAAAAAAAAATGCTGGAGATGTATGTATTCAAAAAAAGTCATGTTTCTTGATTTATGTGAATAAGATATTACTTTTTGAGCCCAAAGTTATGCTAAATTTTCAAGTAAATTCCGAAATTTAGTTAGAATTGGAGGATTTTGGCAATATCAAAATGAAATTCAAATACTTCTTAGAAGTGGCTAGTTAAAAAAATAAAAGAATAATAATAATATCAGGATAAAATTCTGTGTACCAGTAGTATAGAATAGTATTATGGGAACTCTTGTTGAGTGTGTTCTTAAATTATAGATTTGAATGATTTCATCCAGGAATGATATTATCTAAAGGAATGAATACAAATTTTTATGTTGTCACAAATATTTACACATTTTAGGGCATTAGCAATTAAAACTACATATTTAATCATTTTGAAGTAAATAATATAATAATAGTAATAATGATAATATTGAAAGCTTTGGTTAATTTAACTGAAAATACAACACTTGAAAGATTGGAATGAATGCATACTGCTTGACAACAGAACTGAGATCACCAAGATGATTTTGTGTGAAGCATTTTAGGCCTAATGAAAGATGTGTATTTCAATTGCTTAAAAAGCTCTTAATTTTCCTTATTTTTTCTTAACATATGTACACAACAGACATTGTTTTGAGCTTAGTTGTTATTATTATTGATAAGTATTAATAGTAATAACTTGCTTTAGTACTGTACATATGAAAATGGCCCTTCAAACAGAAAAGATGCAGCCATTTCCAAATGTAATTGCTTCCTATCACATAATATTTTTTAAAGGTAAAGTTAAGAATGAATTTTTACAAAATACAAAACATAAAAGTATAGACATTGAGAGTGTTGTGTGTATTTTTGGCTTAATTTTTTGAAAATTAAAGCAATTTTAGCTCTGAACTAACAAATAGAACTTGGAATAGTACCTCCTACAAATTGACTAAAAATCAATTAAAGCAAACTGAAACTAAAATTCAATTAAAGCTTACTGATGGAAAGTCATTTATAACACTGATCATTTCTCAAGTATTATGTACCTGGAAAATATGACCTAAGGGCAATTACAGAAACCACGAGAACATCCTGCGTACAAACATAACAATAGACAATGGTCATGCACACTAAACGTTATGCAAAGAAGTGATGTGCATATTCATACATGATATTGCTATCACACAATCTTTGTATGAATATTTAGAAACAAGGGACAGTAATGAATAAATAAATTTACAAGACACATAGTCATTCAACCGGACTATTATGAACACTCAGTGCTTATCATGCAAAATAACCAGTACAGGTTTTCAAGCTGTAGCTCGTACAATACTGTATTACACCAAATTTCAATGTACAGAGTAGAATTTCTACATTAAAATCGTCTATAACCATATAATGGTTTTGAGATAAACTTTCGATTTCTATTCAGTGGTGCATTTGAATCGGAGCCAAGTAGGCCCTTGCCTCCAGTGAATGGCTGGGTAATATGGAAGTACTAACAGATAACTTGTTTACAGATAGAAACAAGATTATAGGCATGGGAAGTAGCAGACTGGAAGAGTTACGTTTCAAACATCAAAGTTTTCTCTGGCAAGTTGCGAATAATAATATCAATTGAAGTAAGATAAATGCATTAAGAAATTTCTACACACACACACACTCACACACTAAAATAAAAAAAGAAACACAAACTGTGAAGGAGTGTAAAAGACACGTCTTTTCGCTTATATCATTTAAATATTTGAAACCATTGTTCAGCAGTCTAGCCTTAAAACCATCTCAAAAGTTTTGATGTGCAAAGAAAGAATTTTGTTTCTTGTTCTGAAATAGAAACATTTTGAAACAGACTAATTTTCTAAAATGAAAACAAGTGCAAGTATTTGTACTGAGTCTGCTATTAGAAATATCAAAGAATTATATTGAGCTGAACTTGCGTTTCTGAAGGCAAAGTCCCAGGAACACCACAGTCACTATTTAACTTTTATGTAATACAAAAACGACTTACCCCTCCTACTGGCTAAGTGGTATCAGTAACATGCAAAACATATTGAAAAGTAGTTTTAACTTTATTTTTTGGATTAACAATGTATATTAATATGTTTTTATTTGCATCAATTAGGACCAAATTATGCATTTAAATTTCTGTATGACAGTGTCCATGGTGCATTTGTTAGAATATTTTTCTATTAAATTCCATACATGAAAATGTTTTTTAAGTACAGGTCACTTTCTGTACTGTTAATGACATGAATGTCTAATTTTACTGAAATAATATGTAAAAGTACCTGAACAAATATATTATATCACTGTACTTTCAAAAGCATGTTACGTTTAATTTAATATGAATTAATCTTCATTTTAAAGCTGATGAAATTCACCTGCACTTGTCTAATAGGTTGCAAATTAGAAAGGAATGACTTAGCTCATAAACACTGTCATAAGAAAGAGTACAAAAACCATTCAACATATAACAATACCTAATTTTTGTTTTTTACTCCATTTTCTGAACGATTAACGATTGATCAAAACACTACAAGATCAAAAACATTATTCCATTTATCTTTTTGATTTTTTTATATTTAAATATACCGCCTTTAAAATATGAATATTTTATAAAGTAAATATCAATGGCACAAGCTTGGCTTTAAAAACAAGCATGCTACACACCAAATACTCTCTCTTTAAAATCTATTCACATCACCAAAACATAATGATGTTCATTATCATTTTACAAAAAAGAATCACAGGCAGAAATAAGCTTTGGCGAATGCTCTTTTCGCTCATATCCTTAAAACACTACAAAATAAGGTTCTTTGCCATCATTGATATTGCTTGCATTCGTAGTTCTATGCATTGTAAACAATGCTTGGCTTAAAAACATGCTTCATGACACAAAGTTCCTCCTCTTGCAACACCCATGCTTTTCTATTAACAAGCTGCAGGGACTCAAAAATAATACAACAGCTCTCTTGGTGTGAGCTAATCACTGATTTGCAGTCCACTATAATACATTCTAATTCACTTTTGTGTAACAAGTATGTTGTTCATCATAATTAGATAACAATATGAACAATTTGAATAACTCCATGAGAAGAAAAATTATGACATTAATAATCTTTCATTAATAACATGAAACAATTAAATGCAGAATGCTGACCTTTCCATTTTTAGTAAGTAGAAAAACTAAAAAAAAAATTCTATTCATAGTATTGTCTGCAAGTCAGATTTGAATGCAGCTTCAATGCTGCATTTCATGATGTAGTACTGATAATGGGACTCCTAGTTATGCTTTTCTTTTCTTTACACAGGCCTTTCATCAAACATATTTTCTTTATCACTATTAGTGAAGAATATTGTATAATCACCTTCCCTAATTGGTCATCGTTTAGTATTTTTCATGTTATGTATAATCAGGTTATCAGAAACTCTGATTATATAAATCCCTTGCATTTGGGTACACTTCCACAGAAGAGACCAAAGGGATTTGATAGAAATCGCAGAGGAATAAGGCAATTTAAAGGCCACAACATGACTAGGTTTGAATATTTTCTTAAGATTATCTGTAGAATTTAGTAGATACAATATAATTCGAGGAATGATGCGAATAATAAAAATATATAGCATTCTTTTCTGTAGTATAATCAAACTGCTTGATAAAATATGCGAATGAAAAAGGTAATAAATAGAACATTATACCAAAACAGCCTATTGTTTATATTTTGCATATTGCTGGTTTGAATGAAATTTGTACTGGTCTTAAATGGCAGATATCATTTGGGTGACAATATTATCATCTATAAGAATTTGCACTAGCACTGTAGATTCCCTTATTATTCTCTGAGAATATATTATTTTATTTTTGGGGATAAATAATGCATAGTAATTGAATCTATGTAAAGTACATTTGCATTTTGTCTTAGAATATATGCTGCGAAAGTCTGATCGTGAAGTATTGGACCACAAACACTGTACATAAAGGTAACAGCATTTGTACTCGTTCACATTTTGTTTACCATTTTACTGTCAATGCACTGTGGTAACTAGGAGGTTTAGATCTTGTTTTAAGCAAGGAGCCTGTTTCAAACAGCATGCACTCTAGTCAGGCTATACCACTCAGATCTTTGTGAAAAGAAATTTTCAAAGACCATTTCAAATTCAACTTAACAATCCAGTTTGAGTTGTGAGCTACATATACATTCTATAAAACAGTTTGCAGCTAAAACCCGTGTGAATACAGATGCTTTCTTCAATAAATACAATTAAGGCAATATTTTGAAAATGTATTTCATCGATACATTGTTTTGAAGACGAAGTAAATAACATTTTCCATTTCAACAACTCAAATCCAAAATTCATCACATTTCCTCACTGCGTAACAAATGTGGCATTCTTGGTAGTTGCTCCTACGCCAAGAACAGTGCTGTAGACATCGATGGTTTTTGGAAGATACATTCAAATAGAAATACGAATGGAATAGGATAAAAGTAACGCAAAACGTATTCGAAGATATATTCAACGACTGCGCAGACGAGACTCAAGGCAACCGCGTCGGCTTCAGCCCCCTTTGAACAAAACGTTTTCGATGGCTGCGATCCTTTCGAAGAGCACCGCGTGCGGGCGGTAGGCGCCCAGGGCGAGCAGCATCTGCTACGACTTGGGCGGCTGGTGTTGGTGGTGGTGATGGTGGTGGTGGTGCAGGTGGTGCGGGTGGTGCGGCGGAACGGGCCCCGCCGGCGCCGCCCCCTGCAGCAGCTTCGTTTCCTCCGTGGGCGACCCCTCGTCGCCGCCACCGCCCGCGGGCGGGCAGATGTAGAGCGCGCGCGAATCGCCCGGGCCGGGCGGGCAGCAGCCGCCGGCGTCGCCCGGCGCCACCGCGCAGCCGCCACCGCCCAGAAGCGCCACCCCTGCGCCCGCTCCCGCCCCCGAGCCCGCCCCCGCCTCCAGGCGCTCCTTGTGCTTGTTCTCCACCGTGACCTCGTCGCGCGCGTGCTTCTCGCCACCTGCAACCCAGCGCCACTTCACAAGCGCCGGCGCAGGCGATCGCAAACAAAAGGAACTTAAATTCAATCAACTGAAATTAAAAGAACAGTGTTGAAAAATTTCCTATAGTTCATTCCAACTTAATAGATTTGGAAACAGGGAATAAAAAAGTATAATTTTCCTTACGTTGTATCCTATTACGTTTCTGTATGATCTCCTTTGGAGTCGAAAAGTTGCCCTTGCATGTACGCACCCAGGAGGTCGTCGAGCAGCAGCAGCGGGGACTTGAGGCGCCGCATGGAGCCCCCTCCGCCGCCGACTCCCCCGCTCCCGCCGCCGGCCCCGCCGCCGCCCCCGCCCAGCCCCACGAACTTGATGGGCAGCGCGCGGGGCTTGGGCGCGGCCTTGGGCCCGATGGCGCGCAGCGGGCCGGTGTTGGAGTGGGCGGAGCCGGCGGGCGCAGAGGACACCCGGCGGGCGGGCGCGGGCGTGTGCGCGGGCGACACCGCCCCGCCGCCGCCCACGGACGCCTTCTTCTGCGGCGAGCTCTCCGACCCGGAGCCTCCGTCGCCGGACCCTGCGGCACACCGGGAAGCGCCGAATTATAATTAAGAAAATAGCTTAGCGTGGTGTCTTCGGTAGGTATTTTCACGCGAAAAGGTTTTATTTGTGTAACACAAGTTAATAATAAAAATAAGTTTCAAATAAAGTAATTGCGTGACTTATTCTTCCTCAAGCGTAGGTAGTTACAAGAAAAAGGTCTCTAGAACTACTTTTTTAATGTTTATGTTTTTATCTTACTAAACAATTAGATTTATCTTCGGATTACTTACTTGTAACAGTTCATGTTAATTTGAAAAGGCAGTAATGCGCATGTAATTTATAATGTCTAACTACGATAGGTGTTTTGAAAATCAAAACATTTTCCGCCTAGACTTCTTCCAGGGTTTGTGGAAGAATTCTTATAAAAATAGTGCCGATCGAATTGAATTAGAAATAGAATTAGTTTTTGATAATCTCAGTGGGTGTATTAAAAATCACCAAAATAACTTTTGGGCTGCTGAAAATCACAAAACACAGAAGAGAATTCTCTTCGTAGTTTGATCTGAAAAAATCCGAAACAATAGTCAGTTCCTCAGCAGTAAAACGAGACCATCGGTTGACACCTCACTAGACTTGAAGAGGTATTTCACGTTCGCTCACGCGCGTACACAAATTACTACAGGTAGGTTTGTTTCAAAATTATTATTAAAATTCTTCCTCTATGTATAATAAGCTAATTGTAGCAAATGTTTGGAATTATTTACAACAGAGATGTCCAACTTGCAAGGCCTCAAGAGCCTTTAACGTGATCGCGGGCCTTATTTTCATTACTCTTGCGATCCAGATGAAAACCGGTCTTGTTGATCTCCGCAGTTTGCACGGCTGCTCGGAAACGTTGTGTGTTTGTGAAACCATGCGTGATATCAGTGCGTACCATGCACAACGCACTAAAACACAGTAAAATGATTTTGAATTTTTGAACTTACTAGAAAAAAATTAAATATTTAAATGAACATTTTTTCGTAAAGGGGATGTTGATCTTGGCAGAGTGCATGCGCTCGGTGCACAATGTTCTCGCCTGACATGGAAGCAAGGAACTTTCATTTTTGACTAATAACCTTCCGCGGGCCACAATAAATGGCACAGTGGGACTTCAGTTGATCACCCATGATTTATAATAAACATCGACAAATTATTATGCTACTACTGAAAAGGTAATTACTTCCCAGCCGTAGCAAATACGTTTAAGACTGAAATAATAGCAGTTCCTAGATTAAGGTAGAGGGGAAGGCGCGCCACATGCAACCCGCAACACACGTTACGCTTCAACACACATTTCCATCGAGCATAAATTCAGAAATGAAGCATTTTAGATCCTCGAAACATGATTTTCAAGACCGACGCGTATATTTCTTACGCAGTAATGTTTACAAATAATCCTTTTTTGATGTTCTTTTACATTTATCGTTGGTGCCGCCACATACATGGGCTGACAAACATCCGAAGTTGGTTTCGACAGGAAGCTATTATCGCTTTCAAAACTGTTATTACATGTCCAGAATATCGCACGGGTCCAACTAGTAATATCTGTATTACTTATTTCCAATGCTCGATTAAAATCAACTATGTGGCCTCCAGTCATTTGAGAGGTGTCTATGGTTTTCATAGATACTCTGGAATATGTGAAAAATACTAAAACAATGAAAAAGTTTCGATTTTGACTGAAAATTGCAAATATTTAATTGCGTTAATCCGCCTACTGTCATTCTGCGTGTACAGACTGAATGTTAATTTTCAGTGCGTCTCTTACGGCACAGCTGTCGACATGCGACAAGAAGGCTCCAATGAAGAGACCCCCGGCATTATTTCCTTTGTACATACGCTTCCTTATCTAGCAGAAACATTTTTGCTATTCTTGATTTATAAATAATTGTTGTACCGTGTGTCTGTTTTCGGCTACAGTATATGTTATTGAAGTATATCTGAAGGTTTTTATTCAAATATTTAATTTATTGCAGTGATGTACGAGGGAATTATTGTTCTTGAACAATGAGCGCGACGGTTTGGGGAAAAGTATTTTACGTGGTTGTGCTCGGAATAAATTTTTCTGTAGGTAACTCCAATACGACCACACTTGTCTCAGTGAACAGCAGCATGAGTCTCTCAGAGCTCTTCGCATGCATCTGCCTCCGTTGACCCTGGTATTAATATTAGCGAGAATGTGGGAGGGTTCGAGAAACTGGACTTATTCCCCATGCTTTTCCCGCACACACCAGCTTGAAATGCTTCTTTTGTTATAATGCATAACGCAATGTCGCAAATGCTAAAACTTTTCTGAACGTTGTTCATTACGACCGTATAAAGGCGTTAGTCACGTGATCAATAGAGTTTAAGGATATCTCCTTACGTCTGGCGTTAGTAAACTCCCTAGCGGTCTGAAAGCGTAAAGAGAAAAGAGAAAAGAGAGAGCCCGAGCACTTTACCCGCGCCGCCGCCCGAGATGAGTCGCTCCGTCTCGGGGTCGCGTCGTCCGCCGCGCGAGCCACCGCCGCCGCCGCCGCCGCCCCCGCCGCCGCCGCCGCCCTCCGACTTCTTGAGGATGCTCTTGGAGCGGCGGTGCGCCTCGAGCGACGGGCTGCCGGCCGGCGCCGCGCGGCTGTCCAGCGAGTCCACCGACAGCGACGACTTGCTTGCGCCGCCGTTCTTGCCTGCCGCACGCGCCAGTGCCTGCTGTCAGCTCGGCGTTTGCCGCAGACAGAGCGCCATTGCCCAACGGCAGACCCCAACCGATCTCGCATTTTCAGTTAGGAGTACTACGACAAACTCTTGCCTTTCATATGCCGAAATATCAAATGAATCGGGATATGGCACCTTCACACTCAAATTCCACCTTCAAAAGTTCATCCGCAACAAAAATGAACGGGAACCAAAAGAGAAAAGGTCTTCTTTCTCAAACCGAACTTCGGTTGGGATCAGCCGTTATTATTCTGAGCGCCTCAATTCATATCACTATAATAATTGAATTTTTTCAGAAAATAATGAAGTGTTAACTGCGCCAATTTAGGAAATAGGAAAAAAGTCTAGCGCCATACTATACCTATAGTTGATGGTAACAGTGGTAATGAGGATGATAATGATGTGAAAGTTCATTATTTAACGACAGTAATAAAGTCAAAGATGTACCATCGGTTCAAGACATATTAGAGAAAGGTGATACAACAAAATGTGGTGAATAATTGCTTTTCCTACAGGAAAAGCATATACATTTACTCGCGAATGTCTTTCTGTTCTTTTTCAGTAGTAGTTGCCATACTTATTAAGCTAATTGTGATTACGAAGAGGTACTCAACTAGCATCGTCTTAAGACATGACATAATACGCAGTCGCAAGAGAACCCAGCATTCTGAGGCTGCTTTGATATTTATATCCAATCCACAGGAATATATAATAAATTTAAAAAGTTATTTTGTCTTGTAAATGAAATGCAAGTAACCGCAGAATGACTCAAATACATATTGTCAATATAAAAGAAAATTATCACAGCTCAAAAACCGTAATTTTCCAGAACGGTTTTATCCTGAGCGAAGCAGTTCTCTCATTGGCCATCAACAAACTGTTTTACTTCGTATACCTGCTGTCTTGTGAACTACTTTGGTTTTTTTACTGGTTAAAATATATCGTTTTCTACAAATGTTTCATCCTTTTCTTGTATCTTTCTTGTGCACTGACGATATTATGAAGGCATCGGTACTTGTTAATACTCGACTTCCTCACCCTTGTTCAAACGTTTATTCCAACGATAAATGACGACATTTATGGATTTAGAAGGAATCGGGGCGAAGTGTACTTCAACTGAGTAAAGTTGCACATAAGTTAGGAATTGCCCACCATTCAAGTGTATCTTAATGTCACGGAAAGAGTAAAATTGTGAGGTCTGTGGGAGGATGATCAACAGCGTTCCAAAGGAAACGCCTCAACAAATTACACGTAGATTGGATGGATATTGTCGCGTAGTAACATTTTGCCTGAAGAGAGAAATACAGATTGCTCACGTTTTGCATATTCTCCAAATTGACAACATTCACTGACCATGGAGAGGAATTGAAGCTGCACAAGGTCTGAAAAATCGATGTTACCTAAAGATCGTTTCCGTGTTGGTGTTCGCATGTGCAGCAGTTTTGAATTACTTGAACTGAGCAAAACATGTGAGATTCCCCCTCATGGACACGCTTTGACTGCAGTGTCACAAGAGGTAATCATGTTGCATCTTCTGTAACAATACAGCACATAAATGGCATTCCTTTCTCACAAAAACCAATTGTTTTTATCACTTCGAGACACTTAAGAAACTCTTGGGTGGACCTAGACAATTCCAAACTGGGGATAAAGTTCAGAATGTTGTACAGACGTGGCTTCACAAGCTAGATACCGATTGATTCTATGTGGGTTGCCAGAAGTGATATCAGGGTTGCCAGATGTGTTGCGAGTTATTTCCCCATCACTACTACGGAAATTCCACAAATAACCTATCCAAAGAAACAAAATTCCCCAACTTCGAAACGAAAAATATTCTCCAAGTTATAGACCAACGACAAGAGCTATCCCTGACAATTCATTGGCTGACCCCTTAAATTCAAATAATTCAAATCATGCTTTAAGCTGCTTAAACTCTACATATCTTCGTTTTCTCGTGCTTTTCTTACTCTATGTCTACCGTTTATTTTTCTCTTTTTGATACACGAAAATGAGAGAGAATAACGTCTGTTTCTTTTTTATTCATAATAATCCATAGAGTAATATTTCTATCTCGACTCAGGATAAAAATAATTTCTTCAAAAAGTCCTCAAATATTTCTCTGACCACTTATGTTCCCAATTCTTTCCTCGCAACGAAAAAAATTCCCATTTTGTGGACAAAATTTCCCAAGCTGGCAAACCTGGACGACTGCCTTCCAGTGGAACAAATGTTTGGAGAAGCAGGGTGGCTATGTTGAGAAGTAAAGAGTACCTGTGCCATCATAACAAGAGTTCGTATTGTGAGTCTGCGTGATTCTGAGAACTCTCGTTACCTTAATTTTTGATCCATTCCCTATCAGCAATAAAAATACATGCAATAAAGTTCTTGCAATGCGAGAATACTATATATAGCGTAATCGAAAAGTGAACGTTCATTACATGGCAACACAAAGAAAAAATTATGAAGGAATTTGAATATTTATAGCAAAAAGTAATATTAGAGGAAATATACAATACTATTTAATGTTGTTTAATTAACTTACTTATTTTGACGCAATCCGTGGATTCATCATAAATAAGACATTTATTTTCGTAATATCAAAATAATTTCAAATAGGAAGGAAACGTTAGATAACAATTTGACTGCTAAATTATTGTAAGTTTTACCTTTCTACATATTTGCAATGTCACAAATAAACATATCGCGTGATATATAAGGAAATAATATTATAAAGTTTTTATTGAGTTTCTATTGATTGTCTGTCATACGTGTATTAACAAAAAGTTCAATCTATTATAGACAATCAGGTTGAAGTTTAGAATTCAGTAAATAAAAATTAGGAAAGTTGGTTTACTTCTCTACCAAGTTTTGAGATACCAAACAACACGATGCCCATCAATTCGACACCTCAATGGTATGTCAAAACTTAATGTGTGGTGAAATAAACCAACTTTCCTCATTTTTATTTACTGAATTCTAAACTTCAACCTGGTTGACTATAATAGATCGTACGTTTTGTTAGTACAAATAATATTACAACTTTTGTAATAAAACTAAGACGGGGTTTGTTTGGGTACATATCACGTGAAAACAAGAGGTTGTTATTCTTTTAATTGTTTTCTTTTTGAATTTATAAACCTTTGCTGACTTGTTAATAAGACTATATCCAGATATACCAATCAGTGGCGGCTCGTGATTTCTAAGGTGGATGGATCCCAACATTATGCTGAGGTTTAACAAAAATACGGGGGTGGAGACTAGTTATTTCCGTGAACAATCAGCCGTCTGCGAGATACTGAATCTTCACAGTGTTGCGTGTACCTGAAATCAGCCAAGAACTCCCTCACGACATAATGGGCCGGAGATGCTCAACATACAACTGAGGACATAAAGCGTTCCTTTTTCTCAAATGTTTGAATGATGATCAAATTTTGCTTTACTACTTACTGAAATTTGGTATTTTTTTTGTTAAAACGTACATTGACTCCAAAATGTTTGTATAATTAAATAAATCATTAACTGACTTTACGACAGCGAGGCCAATTTGCAGTTTTTTCATGAAGTTTGCTTATCGCCCTGTGAAGGCTATTCGCGTACTTCGTCTGACGGTCGTGACCGCTTTCTCAGGTGTTTCTGATGGCTGACTAACATCATAGAGCTTTTCATGACTCAATGCCCCACTGACAACTTCCGAGTTGTCATCGCCTTTGCTTTACTATTGTGGCGCTCGGATAGTCATTCACAGTTAACCACCACCGCTTGCAGTACAGTACTGATTACTCGATCGTATCACATTGGATGCTAAAGTAAGAAATTGGTATGGCGGTGACTGACAAAAATTAACGATACACAAGTGAAACCGATACATATTACTTTGGGAAATACAAAGCGAGTCATTTCAGGTGGGAAAACATAATTTCCTTATAATGTTACCAATAAATATTTCATTTTCTACTTTGACCTCAGAAACATAGATTTGCATAGAATTTCCCACCGTAATATTTCGATTTCGATATCCTTGCAAATTTATGCGTATTTCGAAGACTCGAAGTGCTATAGTAGACTTGGGAGAGCATTAGCATCATTTGTGAATAGACAGTGCAACTCAACTTAACGACCTGCTGGTGGGCAAAGGTTTTGCCGGCCGAAAATCAAGTTCGGTCGAAGAGGCGCGCGCGATAAAGGTCCGACGACACTCCTATTCCTTCAATTCACAAATGTTTATTTTGCTCCGTCTGCATCAGAAGAAAGTCGAATTTTTCTTCCAGAATATTCACACCTATCCTCAGAACTTCCCAGCCCCAATCCTCAATATAATCCTAAGGATGTTACAGAAAAAGAAGATTTGACAAGAAACGGTGCAGAAACGAAGCATTTCTCAGTATAATGGGCCCGAACCATTTGTTTACCTCTTTAAAGAGAAGGTGGTGATTTTTTCCACCTAAGATGGCCCACATCTATATTCAAGTAACGAAATTTATTTGTTGTTTCGCCGACATATAACAAAACACTCACAAGCCGCCACTGCGTTCTATGAGCATTTGAAGCGAAAATTTCTATCGTGGAATTAAAACCAATAGTTTTTAATTATACATACAAAATACGTTAGTCAGTAGTGTATCTCAGAAAGTTTATGGCGCTTTTTCTATCTGACTTTTCCTACAGCTTCTCCCTCCTGGCCAATCATAAACTGTGGCTCATCTATAGTGGAAAGCGGTTTATATCGATCGCTCTGCCGATGTCCAATAAACCGCATATTTACCATAACCTCTTTGATTTTGACATAGCTTTCTGTTATTTTCAATACTCGGCGCATTTTGAAACTCTGTTGGCCATCATTCCATTGTTAAATACCACTCGTGCTTTGGAAATTCTCAGATAAATTCCCTCTCGCATCGCGTGTCGGGGATTTATGGACAATTTCGAAAGCACCTGTGAAGAAGTTTCCATGCAAAAGAGAGAGGGAGAGAGA